GCATTTTGGGGAGGGCACCTCCCCCGATCCATGGATTTGGGCGACCGCGCGCCAAATCCATGGATCGCTAATCCATGTTTGCGCACCCGCTAGGCAGAGCTTTTTTGGGAAGCGCTCGCGTCTTCTCGGAAGCCGTTTCTCTCTCGCTCTCGCTTCGGAGAAGTCTTAGTCATATTCCCAGAAGTCGGGCGAAGGGAACTATGCACATGCACCGATCCTTGCAAGGCCCATCCTTGACCCAGGATCGTTACATATGCCTTCTTGGCCAAGGTAGGAGGGCGTATGCTCCGATCCTGGCCAGAATCGGTGTACGTGCATACGTCTCCTTCCTCTAAAACGGCCCGAGGCTCTCCTAGCCGTCCGAGAAGGCTCTGCATCCCCCCCCGGGCTCGCCGCCGAGCCTTGCGGATTGGCCGATAGCCGGGTCGAGAGGCCGCCGCAGAAGTCCCAAACATTGCAGCGCCGCCTTTGGTTCTGAGCTGGCCGAGCCGAGCCGAGCCCCGAGCCAGGTGGGCCCCCGCCCGACCGCCGCAGAGGCGCCGGGGCCCCGGTGCGACCGCCCTGGCGGACCAGGGAGCCTTCTCGGCCCCGCCTCGGAGGGCGGCCGGTTCCGCGCCTGCGCGCCCGCTCTGCCTGCCTCTGCTAAGTGCTGCTCCGCCTGCCACTCTCCCTCCTCCTCCTGCTTCCCCCTCCCCGTCTCCTTGGCCACGGGGCGGCTTCTCTGCGCCGGTGGGTGGGCCAGGCCACGGGGCGGCTTCTCTGCGCTGGACGAGGCGGCCCGTTCCGCGCCGCCTCGGCGGGGCGGCGGCGGCGCGGGCGCGCTCGAGGCCGAGCGCCCTCCGCGGGCCCGATGCGGGCCACCAGGGCCGGGGAGGGCGGCTCGCGGCGCGCGGTCCCTGCGACGGGGGTGCTGCCGAGGGCCCCGCGGGGCCGCCTCGACGGTTTGGAGGCCGCGCGGCGGCCGGGCAGCTCGCGCGGGCGGCGCGGGCGCGGCGGGGGCGTGCCCTGCAGGCGCCTGCAGCGGAAGCCCTGGAGGCGTCGAGCGAGGCCTCTCTCGGGCGTCGAGCATTGGGGGGGCGATCGTACACGGGGGGGGCGAGGGAAGGTGCAGCGATTGTGTGCCTCTCGGGTCCCGGAGTGGCCTCCCTGGGATCCAACAGGGGGCACGAGAGGTGCACGTGCCTTCCCCCCTCGGCTTACCGCCCCCCCATTGCCTAATGCACGCCCGATATCGTCAAAGGCGGGCGGGGTCTAAGAAGCTCCCTGCCCTGCCAGATGCCCCGAGCGATCGAGCGAGCGTAAGCCTTGCGCCGGACGGCGCGCGGGAGGGTCAGATTCCCCGCCGCCTTCTTAGAAGACCGCCCTCCTTGCGCCGCGCCCCGTGGAGGCCAATCCCATATCCTCTGGCGATAACTGGCGTGATCGGGGGGAGGGTCGGCGCGAGCTCAACTGTGTTTTCTGGCGATTTCGAGGACCGTTTTCGTTTTCATTTTTGTTTTGCAGGAAAGGCGGAACGCAGACAAACCGAGGGAGCACGAACACAAAATGAAGTGTTCGGCTCATGCCTTGGGAGGGTGGTGGGGAGGGGGCTGGTAAGGCCGCGATTCTCGCCGGTGCTACGATCCGCGCGGCCTTAGGAATGACTACAAGCAGAGCCGGCGCGGCTCGTGACGTGGCCAGGGGGGGAGGTGCGGCGCGGGGCCAGTGAGCAGTGGATTCTCGTGGTGGGCCTCGTGGGCTCCACGTCGGAACCAGGCTGGGCCATTCTCGAGCTCGGCTGTCCGTTCTCCCCATTCTCAGGCGCGCCCGGAGGGCTCTCTGAGGCGGGCGCCTCCTTCGGGTATCGCCGTAAGGGGACCCGGTTCGTAGTAGGGCCCTGGAGCCCCTAGATTTGCCAGACTCACTAAACCAGGTATGCCGTAGCTGGTGTTTTTTCGGGTGACGGCAGTTCCGGTTAGGTGGAACGGGGCGGGGGGGGCGAGTCCCCCAGTACTTATCACTAAACCCAGTTGTGCCAACGCCCGACTTCTGTGAACCTCTGCAGGCTCCAGGCGGCTGCCGTGGCCGATGTGGCCTCCTGTGGCCTCCTGGGCCCACCCACTCGAGCATCCCAGAACCCTCGAAAGCCTCACAAAACCGTCCTCCCCTCCGTCTAGGCCTCCCATGTGGGGTCAGTATAGACAGTGTCGAGTGAGCGCGCCGCATCACCGATGCACCGGCAGTGCGGCTTGGTGTGGAGTCGGGGCTCAAGAGACGGGGGTCAATGCAAACGGGGGTCAGCCAGGGCACCGGATCCTGCAGGATCCTGCGAAGACCCCCTCTGCCTGACCCGGGTTAGCGAGCCGCTCGTGGCCGCGAGGCGGCCGCGCATATTGGCTGACCCGGGTTTGCGAAGACTTGCGTTGAAGTTTTTTTTCTGCATTGCAGTTTTTGGTTTCCTGCTGACCCGGGTCTGGATTGACCCGGGTCAGAAGATTCCCGATGGAGCCCGATTTTCTCT